GGGGGGGGGCGGGAACGGAGCGGGTCCGCGGCCCCACCGGGAGGTTGGCGGTGCGGGGCGGTGCGGGGTGGTGGGGCCGGGAGCGCGGACCCTCCGGCGCTTCCCTGCCCGAGGGGACAGGCCTCCGCCCGGCCCCTGCCCGTTTGGGCCGTCCCGGGACGGGGGGTGATGCCCCGACGGCCGCCTGGCCGCGCTGCCGGGGGAGCATCCCTGCGCAGAGCCCCCGGTGGGCTCCTCATCCTCTCTAGCGGCAGAAGGTTTCATAGGGATTTGGGGTCCCGGGAGGCACCTCTGGCGTGGATCCTATAAGGAATATAGCGCTGTGTGTGGGTATGTGGCTACCCTATACACACCTGGTGTATGGGGCTCGGTGCATATGCACCCCAAGGCAGGATGATCATAAATGACCAGCCTGGAGCCAGGTAGCACAACCTAGAGAGGAAATGTGTCTGCGTAGCGATGCGCATCGCAAAGGTGAGCGTGCAGCTGGATAGCACCGTTCCAGCGACAGCAGCTCCACACATCTAGGTTGGGGAGACAGTGTATTAATAACGTGGGGTATGCAGTCCCGGGATCATTAATGCGAGCTGAGCAGAGCTTATTGACTGTGTTGTGGCATATTGTCTTTGCTGCCTGACAAAGGAGAACTACCTCTTGAATACACTTCAAACGCGCTGACTCCGGCGGCGGTGGCTCTGCTCCTCGCTGGCTCTGAGCTTTCGCATAAAGCCATCTTTCAATGAGTACGAGCAGACCTCTTTTCATAGCCTCGAAACACAGGCACCCTATTGAAATTCTTCAAAATAGGATCAATGTTCTGTTTTATATGCACTGGGTGTTTTTGATGTGGTTGTCGGTCTAAAACAGCGGTGAAAGGCTTTTTCCTTTAGAGTACGTACCTTAGCTGGGTTCAGATTGATATTTCATTTTTATGGGGCTGGAGTTTCAGCTGTCAAAAGAGGCCCTTTCTTAACTAAGCATTTCTCCTGCTGGGCGAGCCCCGGCGGTGTCGTTGTCTGACTTTAATTGACGGAGGGCTTTGTTTTATCTTGCTCTTTAGGTGAGTTTGATGCTAAATGGGTGGCCAGTGATATCTGCCTTTGCAGGGGACCAAGATGTGACCCGAGAAGCTGCTAGCAATGGAGTCCTGATTCAGATGGAGAAAGGAGACAGAGCTTATCTAAAACTGGAGAGAGGAAACTTGATGGGAGGCTGGAAGTATTCGACATTCTCTGGATTTCTAGTGTTCCCGCTTTAAAATCACTTCTCATCCAAGAAAAGGGAGAGACGCGAGTCAGAATCTCTTACAAATTCCCAAGTTGTAGCTGGGTTGAAAGAGTCGTGGACAGCAGACTTTTGACATTCAAATATTAAAGAAGCTAAATCCTGCTTAGGTTTGTGTACATCTGCTTTGAAGAATTACTACTTATTTTTGTTGTGTTGCAGCCAACAGGCGGGAGACACTATAATTGATCAAACCCCCATTTATATTCTTCTCTCTCCTCCCACAAAATTAGTTCCCATCTCTGTGTCACTGGTGTAATCTGCCATCGTTCCCCCATGGTTTCTGCCTCACAAGTAGACTTTAGATATTTTTCATTGTCCTTTACAGCATATTTTGTAGTTTTGTTTTTAAAACATGTTAATCTTGACTCTTTCTCTGAGTTTAACTTTTCAAAAGAAAAAAAAACAAAACAAAAAAGCAAAGTATTTTTGAATACATGGATGCCATGACGGAAGGGAAAAATGCAATTCTTGCTGTGTGCTGGCTGGCAAAAGGAAAAATTTCTACTCGAAGAACTATTCACAGCCAAGGCTGACTAGAGTATTTCAATATTTCTATGTAATTCTGAGTGATTGTGAAATTTAAGGCTGCTAAATGTTTTGATGCTTGTTTTGCTCTCTCGTACAATGTGGCCCAACTAAACGCCAGGAAGTATATTGAACTTTTACTATTACTCTGTAATATATGTGTGAATATCGAAAATTAATTTTTGCTTTAATTCAATAAAGTTTAAATGGGACTTTTATTTTTCTTAACCAGAAATAAGGTTTCTCAA